AGACTGATCTGCGAATGAAACCTTGAAAGCTAGCGAGATCAGGATGGTCTCACGAGGCTACAATAACCCAGCAGGTGATTTAAATGGATCAAGGTCCAGTCCGAGTCCATGTTCTGTTATCAAATGTAGAAAACTGTATAATATCTGTGCACTGCTGTCTTCAATGTCCAGGCTATTTACTGTTAGCAATACAACGGGGCCTTTAAACTCATTAACAACATGTTATTGTTCAAACAGAGACAGGTAAAGGACAATGTGTGTGGATGACAAAAAGACATGGCAGACATGTTGGATTCTAAAGCAAGGTGAAACTTCTTTAGCTGGAATCACGGCTTTCCAGAGCTTCTAACTCACTCCTCCTATAGTTGTGCTTTAGTGTCCTGAAGTGAGATTATTCATAACCAATATGAGTCACAGAGAGAACTGAAACCCTTTTTTTCCATTTCCATCCATCATTCGTGTAGCAAGTGGTGAATTTAAAAATCTTGTCTGCCAGCTCAAAAAAGTCCTCCTCTCAATTACCCTTTAGATGACACACTCCTTATCCTTTTCTATTTTGTTCTAGTTTATTCTTTTCTGCTCTTCGATTACTGAAAGAATGTAAACCCCATCTGAAAAATGCACTTCACAGAAATGACATCGACCCTTTGATGTACTTTGAAGATATATGAGCAGCTTGGCTGCCGGCCCTTTAAAGGAGATTGTATTTTTGGTTTCAGAAAAGAAGGACCTGCGTGACAAAAACACCAGCTGTGCTTAAATGAAGGAACAAAAAGAAAAGAAAATCTGCTAAAACTTTTGCAGTGTCATGGTTTCAGTTTGTTTTCTGTTATACTTTTTAACCCTGTCTGTACTTTTATGTTTATAAATTATACCATTTATATAAATATTGTACTTTTAAGATGTGTTTAAAATGTATGAAGGCTGTCTTTCTCATCTGTGCTTCTTTGTTCTGATGTGTTTAATATTCCTAAACCACGAATTGAAAGATCCATGTTCCAATCTCTGAGCATCATATCTTCTGTTCATTCTGTGATCCAAATAATTTTAGAGTTTCGTCACGTTAGTCATTCCACCTTTTCTGGCTCTTTGTTCTTTTAACATCAAGTGACAAATCTGGTAATGAAGCTCCTCTGTGATGGATAGTGGTCCTCAGGCGTTGCCTCTCTGCAGGATGATTGATGTGCAGATGAAAAACCTTCCAAACATCCTAGCAGACCAATCAGTAGACTTGATTCTCTGGGGGGTCCTTGATTATAAACAACCATCTGACTTGTGTGTTTAAAATGTTGAGGTAATTGAGCAACGTTTGCTGCATCAGTCATTTCGTTGTGATTTTTGCAGCTGAATCTAGAAACAGTCACAGAGTTTTACCAGAAACCTTTAGCCGCTGGAGTTTGCTACAAACTGGTTCATTAACAGAACAATTAAAAGGATTACAGAACAAGCTAAAAAGGTGTTCCAATGATCTATTAAAAATCCAGACCTGCTTAAAGGAATAGTACACCCAAAACATGATTAGCCTTCATTTTCTACTCACCCCCATGCTGAACAACACTCTGGAGTACTTTGTTGATATATCTCAAATGCATCTGGAGATCTGGGAGGCTTCTTGCTGTCTGCTGACATTCAAATAATGGAGGTCTATGGCGCCCGAGGCAGAAAGGTCCATAAAAGTCCACAAAGAAAGTGCAAAGAAAGAAACAACGAAAGAAAAATGTCTG